TGTATGCTTGAATTACTTCAGTTACTTCCCGCCACCACCACCCCCCCCCACCCCCACCCCCCCCCTGTCACACCTAAGGTCTAGTTGCCCATGCCACCAACTACTTCCAAAATTAGTAGCATATGCCACTAGCACCTCTGGATTTTGTTTGTTTGTTTGTTTGTTTACTGTTTTATTGTGAATTGGGTGGTTTACCGAGCAAATAGTCAATTTCATATTCAATAATTTATGCACATTTTTATCAACATTGTAATCTCAATAGATCATCTCTTAGCACACATCCTCCATGTATATCTTATTTCCATTCTTGCTTCTTTCCTAATCCTCTGAACTTTGTCCTTGGGTAAATACTACACATTTTATCTCTTTTTTTTTTTTTTAATCATTTTATTAGGGGCTCATACAGCTCTTATTACAATCCATACATACATCAACCATATAAAGCACATTTGTACATTCATTGCCCTCATCATTCTCAAAACATTTGCTCTCCACTTAAGCCTCCGGCATTAGGTCCTCATTTTTCCCCTCCCTCCCCGCTCCCCCCTCCCTCATGAGCCCCTGATAATTTATAAATTATTACTTTGTCATATTTTTCCCTGTCCAACGTCTCCCTTCACTCACTTTTCTGTTGTCCATCCCCCAGGGAGGAGGTCACATATAGTTTCTTGTAATCGGTTCCCTCTTTCCAACCCATTCTCCCTCTACCCTCCCCGTATCACCACTCACACCACAGGTCCTGTAGGGATCATCCGCCCTGGATTCCTTGTATTTCCAGTTCCTATCTGTACCAGTGTACATCCTCTGGTCTAGCCAGACTTGCAAGGCAGAATTCCTATCATGATAGTGGGAGCGGGGAGGAAACATTTAGGAACTAGAGGAAAGTTGTATTTTTCATCATTGTTACATCGCACCCTAACTGGCTCGTCTCCTCCCCGAGTCCCTGCCGCCCTGGTTAAGCACAGGCACTCTGTTTATCCTGCCCATTTGCATACCAGCGAACTTCCTCCCGAATGGCTATATAACCACAGGCATAGCAGCTGTAGAATTTATAATACATTACAGAAAGGATTATGGCTACAACTGTCATGCTAACTGACTATACTTCAGGACCATAGAAAGCAAGTTGATAGCTGAGTCCTGCTGAAGAAATCCCACAACTAAGTATACGTAAATATCAACCACATATTGACGGTCAACATGCCTAGGTTTTCCTACTGTTTCTCCCAATACTTGTTAATATTTCTCCTTCTTTAGACACTTTGCCTTTACCCATAATCTTCTTTCTGAAAGGTGACTGACAGAGTTTTGTGTGGACATAACTTTTCAACCTATCTGAATAGGCTGAATAGTTGAAATGGGTTGCAAAGTTATGTCCACATAAAAACTGTTTAGAACTCATAATTTCCAATAACTGGATATAATCAATGTCCTTCAAAAGGTGAATGAATAAACATATGGTGGTTCCTGCATACAATGGTGTATTCCGTGATAAAAGGAAATGAGCGAGTAAGCCACAGAAATACACTAAGGGTCCTTAAATGTATGTGACTATGTACATCATAGTCTTTCTGTACATGACACAACTTCTCTAAGGTGCAGGCGCCCACACACACAAAGAAAAAAGAAGGATAGTTCCACAAGGAGGTAGTGTTGAATCTTGCTGACACTGTTATTTACCCAAAAAATGTAGAACAACAGACAGTTTGTATAATAATTTTGGAAACTTTTACCTGCTGTATTAACGTTATTTCATGTCTACTTCACAGTGGACACCATGCTTTCATGATTGTTATTTCATGTTAACATATCCAGGTAAGATAGTCACAGGTTACATGGCATGCACAACGTACAGCTCTTGCCACAGGGAGCCTACAGCATGGTTTCTGTTCTGCTACAGCAGTTTCTCCCAATGTGACAGTACATAAATTAGCTTGTATCCAAAGGAAACCCAAATAAAGGTATTTCGGGATTATGTTACAGAAAGTTAGGGAATAATTTTTTACCTATAAGGTCCCCATGTTTTCTATATCGTCACCACGTAGAATTTTGTCTGGTGTGTAGAATATTCTCCATAAAGAACAGTGCCCTCCCCGAGACCCCTCTGCCAGGAGGTCTTTAGTGGCCTGCTAATGGGCTTTGGGTCTCCACTCAGCATTCCCCCCATCATTCACTATGGTAAGATTTTTTGTTCTGATGATGCCTTATATCTGATCCATTCGATACCTCGTGATCGCATAGGCTGGTGTGCTTCTTCCATGTGGGCTTGTTGCTTCTGAGCTTGATGGCCGCTTGATTACCTTCAAGCCTTTAAGACCCCAGACGCTATACTTTTTGATAGCCGAGCACCATCAGCTTTCTTCGCCACTTTTGCTTATGCACCCATTTGTCTTCAGTGATCCCTTCGACACCTCCTGATCCCATAGGCTGGTGTGCTTCTTCCATGTGGGCTTGTTGCTTCTGAGCTAGATGGACGCTTGTTTACCTTCAAGCTTTTAAGACCCCAGATGCTATGTCTGATAGCCAGGCACCATCAGCTTTCTTCACCACATTTGCTTATTCACCCGCTTTGTCTTCAGCGGTTGTGTCAGGAAGGTGAGCATCATAGAATGCCAATTTAATAGAAGAAAGTATTCTTGCATTGAGGGAGTACTTGAGTGGAGGCCCAATGTCCTTCTGCTACCTTAATACTAAACCTATAAATATAGGCTCATAGATCTATTTCCCCATCCTCATATAAATATATTTGCATATGTACATGTCTTTATCTAGACCTCTATGAATGCCCTTTGCCTCCCAGCTCTTTCCTCTATTTCCCTCCTGTCCCATTATCATGCTCAGTCCCCACCAGGATTTTAGCACTTCCTCTTTGTTACATTCCCCTTGATCATGCCCTACCAGGTCTCCCACCCCCACCTCACCACCAATTTGGATTGCTTGTTGTTCCCTTCTCGCATGGTTCCTGAGGTCCTGCCTACATTTTCATTCTCATCTGTCACCACCATGTCTTCACTCAAGCTGTTCTCCTTCCACTTTCTTGACCTAGCCGATTTCTAGTCATGCTACAGGGCTCACCCTAAATAGCATACCTTAAGGAAGCTTTCGTTCCTTATTGCTGCTCCGGAAGAGAGAACAAATTCTATTCATTCATATGTTAAGGAGTCTGGGAAACGGGGGCTTCTGTGTAGGGAGACCTTCAGGTTCATGGGTTGGAGATTCATCCCACTCACATTCTCCTAAGTAAAAGTTATTTCCCAAATGTACCCCCATAATAATGCCAATCTTAAGGTGCTTGCTTGCAAGCCCATGATTGCTACTGTATATACTTGAAAGTCAATTGCTTGAGGGCTACTTGGCTGAAGAAATCAGGCCCTGTCTACTGTCCCACCCTAAGTGGGGCCCACTCCCTTCTGATAAGGACTATAGATTGTTCCCCTGGAGAAGAGCTCAAAGATACCTAAGGTCAAGCCAGCTCAGAAACAACCAAGGTTAGGCTGTCATCTTGACTCTAGAATCCACCCATCTTGTTACATATGTACCTTCTTGTTACATGTATATGTCTATACCTCCCCTTCTTACTGCGTATATACCCCTAGTTCATCCCCCTTGTGTTACATATATCCCTCTAATAGAACCCCTTCCTGTTACATGTGTGCTTATCGTGGCTTGCATGCCCAAGATTATATAAGGCTGGGGAGAATACATTACTGCCTCATTCTGGTTCTGGTCTCTATCAGAAGAGGTGAGCCCTTAAATGCCTTGTCTGACGTCTCTTTAATTTTACCCCTCAATTACACAACTGCCCCCTTAGGGCCCATCTTAGGCTACCCAGTTATGTACTGCCAGGACATCCTATACTTCTTATTCAAGAAGCACTTTACATGCACACAAAATTGTTTAATTTTGGGAAAAAGTATTGTTTAGTGTTTGTCTTCCTTGCTCGAGAGCAGAGTTCAGCAAACTTTTGAGACAGAAAAGTTCCTCACAACAATTTAAAAGCTATTCAAGAGTCATAAAGATGTTTTTACAAATAAATGAAATCATTATTATCTCAATATCCTTTTAAAATGTTTCAGTTTTACTTCAGAGTCAAATGTATGTACTGAAACAGCCACACATGGCTCTCAAGCAGCACGCATTTTGATGACCCCTAACCTAGGTCATAAGTCTGAGTAGTGCAGTTAATGGAACATCCATTCATCATCATGCCCACAAAGCTTTGCACAGACTCTACTGGGAAAGAAATACTTAAACATACCTTCTGGCTGTATAAATATGTACAACTGAAATATTGAAAATAGTTCTACTGACAGAATACTTTGAGCATCCACTTTCAGGTTCTTCAAAAGTTTAAAACATCCTATGGTTACATTTTCCCATTCATTTACAGAAGTAAATGCAAGAGAGTCCAAATTAATGAGATGGTATATAAATATAATCCAGCATTTCCATGGTTTAAGTTACAAAATGAAATAATATGGAAGTATGCTGTGTGCGAAAAGAGTGACCTATTTTGCATGTAACATTAGCATAGTTCGTTGAATTTTTTTATACTGATAAAATAGAATTATATTAAACTTATAGAACCACTTGCTGTATAGTCACATTCAAATCTTGACAAATGAATACATCCAGTGCACAGCATAAAATTAAATTACCGATTTTAAATGAACAGAAATCACAAGATAGTTATCTTGCAAAAAAGGAAAACCACCAGACAGGTTTCTCAGAGAGGTGGGGGAACTTTCCAATAAGTCTCTTTCTTCTGTTGTATCCATTGTTAAATGTTAACGTTTTTATTATTTGATCATCTTGAACTGTGTCCCATGGTTGGCTCCCCTCATTGCCTGCTTGCACATCAACATTGACAAATGTCATTCTTCTTTGTACCAGCTAGCTGACCGACCTTGTCATTATTACTAATGGCTAGGTGGAGCTGTAGTGGGTATGTTGGATGTTGTGTGTTTGTTTTGGTGATTTCTGTCATTGTGTCTTTTCAGAACAGCAAAAACTGGAGGGCAGCAGTTGACCTATGTGGACGCCTCCTTACAGCCCATGGTCAAGGCTATGGCAAGAATGGGCTGCCTACCAGTCACACAACAGATTCACTGCAGGTAAAACACCTACAGATTTCCTGTATTTTTATTTGGCTTGTCATAATTTGGGGGCAGGAGAAGGAACATAATCTTTCGTGATTATAAGAATAATTTTAGAGCAAAAAGTTTATTTTTCATATCCTAAGTTTAATTTCAGTATGAGATTACTCTAGTTCATACCTGCCTAATTATATTTTATGTATTATACTGTAATCCATGTATCAACTGATAAGAATTGGGAGTCTCACAGTACCATGTTAAGAAGTACATGTGGTATAAGCCAAACGTTCATTTGTAGGGTGGTCAGCGCATGATCTCCATAGTAAAGATCAGACATGTTAAAAAGTTGGCATTTAAGTTTTACCTCTTAGAATTGGTGATTGGTGCTCAATTGTGGCAGATTCTGAGGTGTGTTGAGGTCTAGTAGAAAAACGTGATCTAATTGGTTGGTTAGGTCTATCCCAGAGGAGTGATGGTAATTATTCCATGTGTTTTGTTTCCTTGCTATAGCAGGGCTGTCAGTGGGTTCATTCCAATTCAGTATATCTCTGGAAGGTTAAATTGAAACGAACTAGTTCAAAGCCCTGGGTAAATACAGTCACTTTCCCTTCAATTAAAAAAAAGTCGTTAACAGAAGTTTCCTTGTAAAAGAAAGGAAACTTGTCAGGAAACCGAGCTGAAAAGGTTTTCAAATGTTTCCCTTTCCATGGGGAGTATCATAACGTATTCTTACTTGTAAGAGATTGCTCCCAGAATGAAGCAAGTTAAGTTACCCCAAAACAAGAGTTTTTGAGGGGAACAACTTTGAAGAGGCCTGAGGAATTTGTTTATTTGATATGACAAAATAATAATTTATAAATTATCAAGGGCACATGAGGAAGTGGGGAGCGGGGAGGGAGGGGAAAAGAAGAGGACCTGATGCCAGGGACTTAAGTGGAGAGCAAATGTTTTGAGAATGCTGAGGGCAATGAATGTACAAATATGCTTGACACAATTGATGTATGTATGGGTTGTGATAAGAGTTGTATGAGCCCCTAATAAAACTACTAAAAAATAAATAAATAAATTGTATTATTAAAAAAAAAGAATGCTGTTTGTTCTGTAATCTCTTCCCACTAAGACTTAATGATTAAGATAAGAAAAAAGACTTATAATTTGAGATGCTGCCTTCTCCTCAGCTCTCCATGCACTGGTTTGTAAGTGTTAGGTTATTATTCTTTCATATTTCTCAAATCCTTTACTACTACAAGTTCAGGCCCTCGTGGGAATATTAGCTTTAGCCTCCCGTGTGAAATTATTTCTTTTTTTTTTTAATCATTTTTTGGGGGCTTGTACAGCTCTTATCACAATCCATACATACATCCATTGTGTCAAGCACATTTGTTGCCATCATTTTCAAAACATTTTCTTTCTACCTGAGCCCTTGGTATCAGCTCATTTCCCCCTTCCCCCACCCTTTCTCCCTCCTGAACCCTTAATATTTTTTTTTTTCATGTCTTAAACTGACCAATGTCTCCCTTCACCCTCTTTTCTGTTGTCTGTCCCCCTGGGAGGAGGTTATATATAGATCATTGTTATCGGTTCCTTTTTCTCCCCCCACCTTCCACTTACCCTGGGATCACTACTCTCATTATTGGTCCTCAGGGGTTTATCTGTCCTGGATTCCCTGTATTTCCAGTTCTTATCTCTACCAGCCAGATTTGTAAGGTAGAATTGGAGTCATGATAGTAGCGGGGAGGGGAAAGCATTAAAGAACTAGAGGAAAGTCGTATGTTTCGTTAGTGCTATGTTGCACCCTGACTGGCTCATGTGAAAGTATTTCAAGACTTTCTATTCAGATTCATTCAATAAACTGCCGCCAAAGTCATTTTCCTAAAGCACAGTTTCGGTCATTTCACTTTCCTACTGAAAAGCTATCCATAGCTTCCCATGGCCCACCAAATCCAATTTAAGCTTGTATACACAACCCCCTACAACATGGCCATAAACATTAAGCTATAATGAAAAGGATGTTAGACTCGGTTTGATTCCCATCTTTTAATGACATTACTGATGATGTGTGTGATCTTGAGCAATCACTTCCTTTTGGGCTTCATTTGTTTCTCATTGGTAAAAGGAGAAGATTAAATTAGGTCATTTCTGAGATACCTTTTAATTCTAAAAGCCTCTGATTTGGCAGCTCTTCTCACTTTAATTTCTATCATTTTCCTAAATGTACTATGTATCCTCTGCAGTTGGGTAGTGTGCTGTCCTCGTACACACCGCATACTGTCCACTCTCCACGCCTGTTTCTTACCATTTCCTATCCCTGGTGAACCTGCACCAGGTCCCTTCTAGTCCCTGCCTGTTGAGGTTCTGTGTAGTGTTTTGATGCTTTTCTCAAACACTATTTTATCCACAGTCTATTCCTAATCCTTCTTGCCTTTCCTTCCTCCAATCCATTATCACTTCTCCACCTAATTTATTTGTGTGTGCTTACCTTCTCCCCTCCCTCAGCAGACATTCTCTACCACTTCCTTGAAGAAGGGATGGTATATTTTTATCTTCCTCACACCTAGCTAGCATAGTGCTTTGTACATATTTCCACCCCATACGTATTCATGGAATTAATTAATGGAATCAAGCACAATCATTCGCATAATTAATAACTCAAGAGTATGTTTATAAACAAATAATTATGCAGATATTCAAGGAATAAAAGGTGATCTTGCCCTTGCTTAATATGAGGACTCAAGTTCTAATACCAAATTGATAGGAAATGGGAATTTCATTATTTTTTACATATTAAAAATAACTTGCTATTTTCATTCTATTTTGTGACTTTAGCTCTGGTTTGTGAGACTGGCACTACTGGTAAAGTTGAGCCTTTTCCAGAATGCTGAAGTGGAATTTGAACCCTTCGGAAATCTTGATCAGCCAGACCTTTATTATGAATACTATCCCCATGTGTATCCTGGACGTAGAGGTAAGCCATTGGTGTCTGATGTTTGTGCTTTTGAAAGTATTTTGCTTAACACAGCTTAGCACATAATTAGATATCCTTAATTTTCCTTACTTTACCCAGTCTTAAAAACCTTAGTAGCCTCTCATCAACTTGATTTACAACGTGATACCCATACGTTTTATAAATACAGTGAGCTAAACATATTCATTGATTTATTTAACAAGCATTTATGGGTACTTGCTGAGTCAAAGCAGTACAATTTGGTGTGAGATTTTCAAGCTATCTTGTATAAAACACTTTTGTATCATGACCTACTAAAAGCATATTCATATACAGGGGTCCTCAAACTGTGGCCCGCCGAGGACATTTATCCAGCCCGCCAGGTGTTTTTGCCCTGTTTGTTTTTTTACTTCAAAATAAGAGATGTGTAGTGTGCATAGGAATTTGTTCATAGTTTTTTTTTAAGCTATAGTCCAGCCCTCCAACTGGTCTGAGGGACAGTGGCCCCCTGTTTAAAAAGTTTGAGGACCCCTGATATAACAAAACCAAGATATTTTCTATTACTCTCCCTTTTGACTTAATTCATGTTTAAGAATCTGGTTTCACTCCACCAGTAGGACATCACGACATTTATAAAGCGCTGGGTTATGGCCTACATTAGTTCTTGGAGAATGGGACCATACAAATGGCGTCAGGGGAAGGGCAGATTATAAAGAGCCTTCTCGGATGCGAGTAGCCTTAAAGTGGAATAACCATCTCTTGTTGGGCAAACTTAAAAATATGCATGAAGTCCTTCTGACATTAATATTGAATAAACAATTTTAGAGGGATTTTTAATGAGCAGCACTAATTATTAAAAATATAAAAATAATTATTGAGAGCATGGACTGTGCAGGAAGACTTTCTGGTAAATGTTGGCTCCTCCATTTACCGGTATAATCTTGGGCAAGTTATTTATTTCTCTGTGCTTTTGGCTTCCTTATTGGTAGGTAAAGCAGGGATAAGAATTATATTTATAACACAGGCGTGTCATTTAATTTGTAAGTCGCTTAGAGCAGCCTTTTGCACCTTCTTTTTCTGTTCTTAATTCACTATTGACATTCTTTAGGATGTAATATTTTAGGCTGCAATACTTTGTCAATCACCTACCTGATCAACATTTGTTGGATACAACAGTGGATCTACAAAGAATAATCCTTATCAGGAAAGGTATCAATTAATTGGAGTAGAAAATTGTGTTAGGCCAGTTTGACTAGAGAAACAAATCCAGTGATACTCTTGTGTGTAAAAGAAAGCTTTATATCAAGAAGTAATTCTATATGAAGCAAACATCTATCTAGCCCTGTCCAGATTAAGTGCATAAATCCAATACTAGTCCAAAATTTGATATTACTTCATAAGTCCCTGTTCAGACTCATGTGGCCACATGCAATGATGCAGAATGCAGGAAGATCACAGACCAGTGGGTGCAAAGTCATGTGGATTCAATAGCGATGGCCGCATCACAGGGCTCACGGCAACCAGAGTCAGCCAGCTGGGCAATGAAGGCAGAGAGAGAGAGGGAGGTTCCCAGGACCCTCCTTCTTTTTTTTTTTTAATAAATCATATCATTAGGGTCTCGTACAACTCTTATCACAATCCATACATACATCAATTGTGCAAAGCACATTTGTACATTCATTGCCCTAATCATTCTCAAAACATTTGCTCTCCACTTAAGCCCCTGACATCAGGTGCTCCTTTTTTCCCCT